TTTTCCTGAGTTAATTATTGTGTTGGATGTCTTACTCCTATAATAAAAAAAAAACTAACCCACAAAACAAACAAAACCAAAGAAAAGTTCTTGTAATTAACCTAAAGTGCTTGGTAGAAGTTAAGGTTTCTGAGTGACTCATGAATGACCTTTATTTCTGTGATGAATTTACCACCTCTGCATGGTATCCTTCTGGTTAAAACTGTAGCTTAGGGAACATTTGTGTGAGAGTTACCACGCACTCTTAAAAACTTCAATATGGAGGATATGAAATGCTCAAGGTGTTCTTAAAACAATTATATGATTTTAAGCAATATTTTTCTCATTAATCCTAGGAGGTGACTTGAGAAGGAGAGGATGCATGACAGGGCCAGGAGTTCAGTCAACCTATGAATATTTTCAGAGTAGGAACTAGAGAAAGACTAAAGCTGAATTCAAATGAAAGCACACTACTGGGAGGGGAAGACACCCAAGGGGAGACCCTCTGTGATACTGAGTGCACAGAAGGAGTTGAGGTCACTTGTTGAGAGGAGAAAGATGCAAAGCTCTCGCAGTTCTGGCTGCCAGATTCCGTACTTCCCGCACCTCTTCTGGAGGCTGCTGGTGGTGCAGATGGCGTGGGGACTGTGTATGTGCTCTAAGTCTGTTTCACTGCAGAATGATGCCACTTAATTTAAAGCCATCTTGAGCTATGATTTTCTGTTGAAATGGACTATGAATGTGTTTGCATGATGTCTCTCGCAGCTCAATGAACAACAGCTAGTGATTACTAATTCTTAACCATCTCCAACTCAGTCAGCCATGTGTCTTTTTATGCCCTGATCCTTTTCAGTTTGGTTGTATATTGTATGTGTTAAAGTCCCCAGAAATTCATAACTGCGTTGTCTATGAATTTAGAGTTGTAAGCTATATACATGTGTACACATGTGTGTATATTAATTCGTAGTCTTAACTTACATATGTGGGCATACACCTTCATATTTACATAAAAATCCAGTTTTGACTTAGCATCTTCACATTTTTTTTTTCAATTATTTTGGGTTTTTTATATTTGTGAGGTTAATACTACAGCAGTGACTTGTCTACTGAAGGATTTTTGATCAGAGAATTTAATTACTTTGGAGATCTGTTAAGAGGAGGACAGATGAAGCTGACTTCTAAATGTTTACTGAAAAAGCTGCTGGGGTTTTTGTTGTTGTTGTTGTTGTAAGTAGTTTTATTTTGCTTTCAGAACTTAAAATGAAGTAGTTAGGCCTATCATTTCTGCAGAAGGATATGTGGTAATACTCAAGTAATTCTAGAGGAAAGCAAAGCATGACTTCCTGTAGTTCTTGGTATATACTCCTGAACTGAGGGAAAAATCTCATTTGTCTGGAAAATCTTTAACTGTTCTCATAGGCAGAACTGGAAAATAATCAGAATATGATGCTAAGTAAATTAAATTTTCACTTGTTCTCTCATTGGAATTAATTATTACACTATGTGATTGGTGCTTGTTATGAATAGCATAAGTCTTGCTTGCTGGCGTAACTCATTCGCGCTGTTCTAATGTGGGTGGGGGGAGGAGGGTACCAAAAAGCAAACAAAAAATTGCTCGCTGGATGTTTTAATCAGTATGATAAATTTGTAGTGTTTTCTCACTTATTAGGGATCACTTGGTTCTCCCAAATGTTATGTACACTGTACTGTACAAGTTAGCAACTATTTACATATATAGTACTTTTGTAAGTGTAAATGGACTGTAAAAAAGACCAGCCTGAAAGCTGAACAGTTGGATGCATCGGTATGTAGAAACATTCATATCAGAGTAGATTCAAGAGTTAATATATTCCATTAGAACTTTTTGCAAGAAATGTGAAGCATTGCATTTCCTACAGTATTGTGATGAAGTTTTGTTTTTGTTTTATTTATTGTAGTACATTTTAGTGGAGTGAGCTGTAAGGAATCCTCAGCTGTAACTTAATGGGAAGTTAGGCACAGTCATGAGAGGTTTTGCCTTTTACTTTCTTGGTTTTTATTCCATATAGAGTATACATACTAGTAAAATGTACCTTGATAAGGTGTTTATTTTAGCAGACCAAAATTATAAAGCCAGGGGTATCTAGGATACCTCTCTCTTCCTCTGTTTAGCTGTGCTGGCTGTAAAGTTTCTTCATTTGATGTTTTTAAGCTGTTCCAATGGGAATCCAATGGAAATTAATTTACATCAATTAAATTGGAATTCCTGTGGTATAGCAGTGTTGTCAGGTTCCACTTAAAAGATCAAATTTTAGGGCTACACAAAATAAACAACTAACTGTTAACTGTCTTCATCAGTGTGTCAATATAAACAAACAGGGTTGACTGTAATGACTCATCTGTCATACCCTATTCCCAAAATATACACTAAGCCACTCCCGAGTGGCTTATTTACTATTTTAAGATATAGATACAGATGCAGCATTGTAGAATTTTTCTTTTAAGACCTTGGAAAGGCTAATACATCTGCATCACCTCAGCTGCTACACCCCTCAGCTACTTTCCTCAGCAACTATGAGGAATTCTTAAAATATCTTTTAAGTGCTTCTGTGTAATCTTGATACTTCCTTGATTTTTTTTCTCTTATTTGCTTTTCTGGTTTCTTTTTCTTGCTGTTTTCTATTGCCTGAAAGTTTTGCTGCTGTGCATGGAGTAGAAAGTGTGGGGCACTGACTGCTTGTATTGGTGAGTGTGCACCTCTCGACTAAAACTGGAGCATTTTACGCTCCTTTAGAGAGATTTTACTCTCCTTTAGAGACACTGGAGGAAAGCTACTGTGTGATTCACGCTCTTCTCCTGTAGCAGTTATGTTGTGTTCAGTTTGCTTTAATTCTGGCGTATTCAGCTGACCTATCATCTGTTTCTTCAACAAATTTAATAGGAACTTTACTCTGTGAAGCTAGTAATTCTGTCTGGAAATCCTGCTCTTCAGAACTTCATGGCTTTGACTTGGGTGCTTTACCTTGAGGTGGCTGTCGTAATTTCTGCTCCCAGCTGTCCTCCGTGATCTCTGAGGTTTCTGCCCCTGCTCCAAAGGCCTCAGCTCCCCAAGCAGCTGCTGCATTGTTACTGTGCCACACTGGAGCGTTAGGGTAGCACCAAGTATGTGCTGTGTAACCCTAACGCACAGGGATGTCAGCTGTGGCATTTCAGCTGCCTCGTAAGTATCAGAGCTGTCCTTGCCCTGTAAGCAGGAATCTGAGAGAGGGGCAGGAACTAAGCGATCTCTTTCAAGGTAAGTCTTGTTACAGCCCTGATTCCTTTTCTGTTTTCAGTTGTAGCTGCAAACCTCCCACTTAGATTCATTCTTCCATGATTTATTTAGTCTTCAGTTGAGTTTCTGCCTGTATGACCTTTGTCTTAAAAATGCAAGCAATCCTGATCATGTAGAACTATTCTGGAAAAAAATGGAGCTGAATACTCGGCCATCAGATATTTTGTCATTTTTGTGCACAAAATCAGGTTTTGAAAGGAAGGCTTCACACTTTTAAATCTTCTTGATTCTTTGGAATCACAGAAACTCTCAAAGAGGGAAAAAAATTGTTTCTGGAAGTCTGCTGTCATTAAGATGCTGGACTTGAATGTGTTCCCTTAAGGTAACAGAGGAGTCTTTTCAGAGTGGCTAAAAGTGACCAAAGAAGGGACACTTAAGATAAAAGCTGTCAGTCAGGTTGCTATCACTTCTGTGCTCCCCCCAAGGAAATATACCTGTGAGCAGACTGTGTGATCTCATTGTTTAAAAAGATTTTGTAACCGTTTTGATATACTTGTAAAGGTCTAGATAAATGAAAATTATTCAAAAGTTCTTTTGGTTTAGGTGTTGAATTTAAATTGTCTTTCAACTACCGTAATAATGATTGACTCTGAGGCTGGACATCTGTTGCTGTTTGTAGGAATTACGTAACAGTGTCCTTTTGTCTGATAAATTCGAGATGTCTTGTGCCTTTTCTTAAAGTTACCTATGAAGATAAACACGTCTCTTCCTTAAAATTAAATTCTGCATAATTTGAGTGACAGGGTTACAAAACACTTGCACGGGATTTCCCAAGCAAATCGATGCAAATAGGTTATGTTGTGTGAAAGCACAGGGATTTGGGGTCTGTTAATCTTTGCAGTTTACAGTAACTGAACAGTGAATGTATAATGACGGTCCAGTATTCCTGGATGTTTTGGGACTAACTGTACCTCTGCAGTAGAGATCAGTTTCACTGTGCTAATGGCACATAATTTCATGACATGTAGCCCGTTAGATGCTATTCTTTTTTCTGCTTCCATATACTTAGAAACTTCAGATGGAAAAATGCTGTCATCAAATTCCGCTTGTACCAGTATTTTTCAAGCACATTTGTTGTCTGAAATCTTCAAAAATGCAGCAGTCCTGTACAATGGTAATGGAGACTGCTTTTCTGCCTTTGTTTTGGTGCAGTAGAATTTTCTACTTTGCTTGCTGTAATACATTCCAGTCCTGTAGAAGTGATATATTTTCCCAGAATGAATACAATTTTATTCTAAATAACTAATCCATTGTTGAAATCTTTATTTTTAAAAAAATATCCTCTTCTACCATGATTAAGGAGAGAGAATTTATTTAACAATTATTTAATGAAAATATTTTGCTTTCCTTGCTGGAATTTCTCATTCCTTATGTAGGCAACTAAATACACTCATTTTAGCTGTATCTTATTACAGTTGCCTTTTTGTTACTTTGTGATGTGCATTTATAATATATAATTTCTTCTTTTGGCTAAATATTCCTGTAAATAGATGTTCTAGTAATTCCTGTTAAAAACAATGTAGTTAGTTGCACTTCTGCATTTCACTTGTAGACAGTTTTTCGTGTTTTCCTACTCAAAATCCTCAACACTGCAGGCATTTCAAGGGTAACAGGGATACTTATTCTGTCCATACTGTTAGGCAAGGTACTAGTAAATAAAAAAGAACAAAGCACAGAGAAATTTTCTGGACATCATTTATCAGGTGAATCTGCTTGGTTTTTTGTTTGCAGAATTCCATGTTGGTCTTCAGGTATTTTTCTGTGAATTTTTCCTATTCTTGATACTTAAAACAAGTAAATTGTTTGCCAAAACCTAGTTGTACATTGACTGAAACTATTTGTTGATTTATGTTGCGGTTTGTAAATTTTGAAAGTAAAGAACTGCCTTGAAAACTAAATATAATTCACAAAATCTATATCACATTTTCTGTAAAAAATTAGCTCAACTAAAAAAGTCTTTTTTCTTTTAATTCAGCTGGTGAACTCATTCACGCAGCTGTAGCTATGCCTGATTACCCAGATAAATGTGAGTGAAAGGTAACGAAAGTTGAATTTGCCTCCGTGTAAACTGATATTTTCATACACAGCTACTAATGCATTCGCTTCCTCTCTTCCAAAGTTTCCTCTCTTTTTCCTTTTCATTAATTTATTTTGTAAATAAAATTCACCAGTTGCTTTTGCCTAACAGAAGACTTCTACAATCTGCTGCCTCTGTATTGCCGGGAAGGAGACAAGTCTCTTACACTCTGTTCAAATGAATGCTTGAAGCATTTTTAAGTAATATATTGTCAGGTTACTTTCCCTTGCAGCTCATTTAAGGTTTTCAGTTTCAAACAATAAAAGGGCTAATTACTGAAAGGCACATGTATTTAGTATGTTTTTACTGTTATACAAATTTTACACCCAGTATTTGGGGAGCCCTGGACCTGCTTACCTTTTTGTGGTCCTTCCAGCCTGGTTCACAAGATAACATTCATGTCAAGTGTATCACTATAGGTATGTCAGTGTTTATAGATATGTATCTCTACAAAGATGCCTGTTGAGCATTAAAAGCTTAAGTCAGTATCTTTAGCTATTTTCTGACAAGTTGCCTGCTTCAGCATTACAGATTAGCTGGTTGGAAATAAAAGAAGGGAAAAATACTTTCAAGGTGTCTATTACTTGCCGGAAATTAAATAGCTAGATTTTTATTTTGTTTTTATAAACTCAGTCATAGTTGCTTTTGTTAATTACTTATTTTGGATTCATATAAAAAGCGCTGTGTTTGAGGTGAGGAGAATACTACACTTGAAGGATTTTCATAATTAGAAACCAGAACATTTGCACATCTTCAATTTAACTTTTTGTTAGGATTTGAGGAAACACTATTGCATTTGATCCTCAAAGATTTGTCCAAATTTGTAATTGCAAAAGGATTTTAAGTGAAAGCTTTTAATCGAAGTGAACTACTTATATTAATGCATACGAGTACCTAATGAAAGAATACTGATCAGCTTTCAGTTGGTAAAATGGATAAGTAGAAATCAACTAGCATGCTAAAAGATTCAGGTTGAAGCTAATTACAGTGCAAAATAGTTTGATAAAATTTTAATACTGAGTTTTGGTATTTTAATAGGCTCTTGTGTAATATTCAAACAGCTGAGCACAAGTAAGTAAATGCTAGTGGGAAAATATTCTATTATGTAAAATAAAACCATATTTTAACTAGCTTATTTGCTAAAAGCTACCATTTCTAGAAGTTGAATCTTTTTTGTATTTTATAAAATGTTATCGTTTTATGTGTGTTACTGAGGAACAAATCGACTTTTAAATGTTTGTGTTTTCTGTCATATTAAGGTGCATTTTTACCATACTGGTGTAGCAAGCTCTTCCTAATTTCATCTGAATGCTTATCACATGCTTCTGGCAACGTATGCTTAGGCAGGAGAGATTTTGACGAGAAAGCATGTGATTGCATGTTTAACAAGTCTTCAAACTTTGTTTTGAATTCCACCTTTAAAACAAAAAGCATTGAAGTAGGCCTATTGTTTGAATTACTCTCCTCCATTAAGTACATGAATCTTTACCCCTCCAGGCTATGTTCATTTGCATTTTATCTCTGCCACTCTTCCACACTTTTATTTCACTCTTGACCCTGTTTCTAGGAGATGTGCGAGTAAGAAGTCGGGCAGGATTTGAAACAGAGAGAAGAGGTTCTCATCCATACATTGATTTCCGTATTTTTCACTGTAAGTATTTAAAAGCAGATAAATTACAAATACACAAAGGCTTCCATCAATTTTAACTACTGAGCCTCTAAAAGATAGCAGCTTTTATAGCAAGACCATTTTTTATACTTAGGAAAATCCTTCATGCTAGCTCATTACCAAAAATAGAAGAGGACAATCCTCACTGCTAAATTTTTGTTTCTAAAAATTTAGTTTAAACTCATTGAATTTAAACCTGAATCCCTGTGGAAATGAAGACTGTCTTATATCCAGCTACTGGTGTGTGTGCTCACTTGACAGACACAATCAGTTGAGGGGAATAATTTCCTGCTTTTATGCAGCAGCAGAAAGGCCCTGTCTAGGATGGTGCTTGAATAGACTTACAGTAGATATCAATGTGCTTTGACCTCATCATAATCAATTAACATTACGTCTACTCAAACATGTAGCTAGGGCTTAAATTTTTGGACAAATATAAATCTTAAAGTGTTACAGGAAAACAGCAGACTAAATTTTTTTGATTATGTGTTTTAGGAATCATTTTTTCTCAGAAGTGTTGCAAGAATAATATTTTTGTAGAGAAAAAAGTTAAATTATCTATCTGTGATGTTATAACTAAATTTGTCAGTAGTTGTTGTAACATGAAGTTTCAATAACCACCAAACCAATATGCAGGGAAAGTGCAGAGGATTTAAGTCTTAATTAAATTATGTCAATATTGAATGTATTAAGTGTCATAAAGTATCTATACCAACACTGAATCAGCACAGTTCCAATATTCTGAATACAATGGAGAGATTTAGAAAAGCTGATTTCATGATAACAAGTGTGGTTGTTCTAATTACCTTGTTAATAAAAATGAGTGGCAGAAACTGGTCTTATGCTCTGATTGTAACTGAAGTTACTCTTTTAAAAAAGTAGATCACATTTAAAACTCTTAAACTCTTTAGTTTCATTCAAAAGTTTCATAACAATAGGTGAGAAAACAAAGTTTGAAGAGTGTACTATATTGATTTTTCCAACAAAGAGGATAAGAATTTCATCTCAAGTCCTGATTGAGTATAATAAATTCTCTAGAAATAGCATGCAATTTATGAAGTTCATAACTATGTCTTTTTGTGTATGTATATATATGTGGCATTTCATGCTGATAGGGGAAAATACTAACAGAGTAGTAAAAGAACTACCAGTTAAAAGGCAGTCAATGTATGATATTATTGCTGTTGTCAAATTAACTATTTTCTGTGGTCCTCATCACACTTTTCTTTCCATCCTGATGATTGTGCATCAGGCAGATCATGACTAATCAGGAAGAGGATTTTCACACCCTTTCTTCTTGCCCCTACCTGTTCAGGCATAGGCACCAGCTTTTAGCAACATCACCTGTGGTGTCTGATGACAGCAAAGAATGTTGCTAGGAGGCCCAAAAAATTCTTTGGCTATAGCTTCCCTCTCAAGTCAACTGCTGTGGCAGTTTTCAGAGTTGCCATATTATAGTCATATTTTTTGCACTTCAGGACTGTAGCCTGTTGCAGGGTTGCTCTTCGACTTCAGGCTCCTGCCGTATTGTGGAGTTTCTTTCAAAATCAGTAAGGAATTCAGAGCCAGCTCTCACCATATCACTGGGTTATCTATTAATTAATGTAATTGTGGGATTTTATTAATCAGTAAAATATTTTCTTTTTCTCTGCAATGCTAATTGAGTCCTGATCAATGTTTCCTTAATTGTTTTAAGCAAAACAAATTTAGTATGATACTATGAGACTGCAAGTCGAGAGAAGTTCTGGGAATCAGACTAGACCTGATTTTTAGGGTATTGTCCCTGCCCTCTCCCGGTAACTCCAGAAGGATTTGATTTTGCCACATCGAGCTACATGACTGAAAAATGTTCACCCTTACGAGCAATAGCATGTGAGAGGAGCCAGCCAGCTCTTCTTTCCTTGAGGCAAAGACTGAACTGAAAAGGGTCTCTTCTGGAGCCAAAGCAAACTAAACCATCTGAATGCTCGCTTTTTTTTTTCCCTCCCCACCACAGCTGTATCCTGAACATCAGTAATGCATGGATATGCTTCCTTCATCATGTTTGTATAGTTTCAGTGTAACTTTCTTCTACCATCCAGTAACTTTATTGTGTGGTACTAAATATTTTGCAAAGATCATGGCTTACCTGTTTTGCAGATGTTGTATATACTGGCTGTCAGTCACAGTGTGGAAGCATTATTGCTGTTTTGTATTTTTCTTAGCTAATTTGTGTTGTTCAGCATTTTCTTTTTGTGTCAATGATGTTTTTAGAAGAAGTTGAACATCTTTCAGGAGGTCCAGCTAATAATCTGCGACCAGTTCTCTTTTCCTATATTTTATTGGTAGACTCTTAACCCTGTATTTTATTGGTAGGTTTGAAGAGTACTGAATTTTAAATGCTTTATTCTGTTTTCAGGAAGCTACTGTTGTGTGCATTTGTTTTAAATAGTCACTTCTGTTTCATTATACTATTTTAACTTGCAACTTTATCTTGTGTTGCTGAAGAAAATTTTTAGCACTTACTTATTAAGACCACTTCTGTATCTTCTTAAGCATTATAAGCTCAGCCTCTGTATTCCTCATCCCATAGTTCTGTAATTGACACATGAATATGCAAGTTTTTAACTTGACTAGAAGTATTCTCAACAGTAACCTTTTTCTAGGAAATTCAATTTGAGGAAAGATTCTTGAAAAAATATCTTTATTGTTATTGCTAGAGATGGTGGTATGGGAGTCATCTGAGAATTCTTAAATTCAGGATTTGACTGGTGATCAACCTAAGTTTGTTGGGTGGTAATTTTCCTTCTATATTACGTGTTGTTCGAGAAGTCACCTTTTTATGGGTAATTGCAGGAACTAGCCAGGAGGAGTAGTTTAATTAACAAATTTTTGTTTGAATAAGACTGCTTCCTGATGAGTGGGGAAAGATAGGACTGTATTCCTCGGTTGGTTTGCAGTTGGTTAATGTTGAATCATCAATTAGTAGCTTTTCTGTTACTGTGGTCTGTTGATTATGCCTGTGTAGGACCATGGGCATAAACTCAGAAAGCAGCTCAAAGCCACTGTTTCTGGAAAGGAGAGAGCAGGCACACAACTTTCTTCCTCTGAAGTAAATTTTGGCCTTAAATATAATGGTTGTTCAGTGGATGTATATAAATCACACCTGCACATTAAAATGCCTGCACTGTAACGTTTTATTGACTTGACTGTGGAACTTTTAACTCCATGTGTAACAAGGAGGAAGTTTTGCAATTCACTGTGACGATGCAGCATGTACTGTTTGGTTTTCAGGGAAGTTATTGAAAAGTGTTTTCAGTGGTGTTAACCACTCTTCCTGCCTGCTGGTTTACAGGTAGGCTACAGTTAACATGATTACTTAAAATTTTTTTTTTTCACATTACTTGAGACTTCACGGACAATAATTCAGTCTGCAGCATTGGCAGAATATGTTGATAAAAGCTAATGCAAAACAGAATCTTTGGTAGAAGAATTGGTAAGTGCACAAACAGGAGTATATAATGTGCCCCAATCACTCACTATTTCACCTGAAAAAAAAAACAAACAAGCAGTGCTCATTTATGTATACAGTATGTTATACTGAGGAAGTGAAGCCAAAAGGAATAAAGCTCAAGTGAATAATTAAGATAACAGAAAAAATATTGGGAACTGCCTTATGCAGATACAACCTAAATTAATACTTTTAAGCTTCCTTTTTAGGAAAGGGTTGTTGGCTATAGTCAGAAGAAATAGATAAAAACCCAAATATTTTTGGGTTTGTGGAGAGGAAACTTTTTTTCTTTGTGCTTTTCCTGTTTTGCCTGACCCTAAATAAATAAGACCTTGTCAAAAGGTTTTTAGAATTCTCTTGGGCCACTCTCGTCTGAGCATCCTTCTGTGGGGAGATAGTGATGTTGCCAACACATGGGGCTCTATTTTGTGTTTTCTAGATAAGGGAATGTGACACGTGAGTTAAAATGTCTTGGAAAGAAGAAAGGGGTTTTTGAGTTATTCAGTATGTGTCTATATGGCTCCATTTTGAAGCAGATAGATGTTAGCATATGGTATAGTGCTTCACATAGGAGAGAAAATAACGTGATTTGAACTTAAGACTTCATTGAGACTTAGACAGTTCTTCTCTTCAGTTGTATATGAAGCCTTTTTAGTGGGAAAAGAAAGGGAGACTATTATAGGTAATGAATAAATCTAGTTCTCTTTCTTGAGAAGGCAAACACTTGAAGAAATTATTGAGTTTATTATACAACCTTCAGACAGTTTACTTGGAAATCATAGTTCATGTAACATATTATATGCTACTCTGAGATCTGACAAAGATGTCAGCATCTACTGTTTGCCATGATGTTTTTAACTTTTCAGTTTTTTGCTCACAAATTGTTGGAAAAGTTTTATCTTACACAGTGAATTTAGATTCCCCTTGACTGAGAGGCCAGAAGTCAAAGAAGAGAGAGGAGTGCAAATCCAAATTGATTGCTTTAAACAATTTGTAAAATCCTTGTGTAACAGCAGCCAGTCCTGCTTTTGATATCATCTAGAGATTGAGATAAAATGAGCCTGGTCCAGGTGAATTTGAATACCCTTTTTAGTTTTAGGAAAACAGAGGAATTACCAAGCTGAATATGGTTAAAAGTAATTGTCTTGTTCAACAGTCTACTGTGAAGGGTGAGTTTCACAATGAGTAAAGTCATGCGAGAAGATTTCTGTGTGGTCATAGGTTGAATGAATTTGTTTCCCTATGAAAAAACCAGCACTGAGAAGTAAAAAGCTTGTACTCAAGAGATTTCTCCAACAGCTGCCTTTCTGTGAAGCATGGGATTCTGAAATGGTCTTCTAATTATTCACAATCCAGATTATTCAAATATATTGTTTTTCTCAATATGAGCAAAATTTTGACTTGGGTTTAGTGTGGAGAATGCAGTCCCACAAGGGGAAGTCACAGACAATGCTCTAAATACAACCTTAGCCAAACGAAAACAGTGAAGATG